ACAAGATTAGCAATGCCAGGAAACCAGGGCTGCTCAGAAAGACTCATGATCAACATCAACAACCTCATGCATGAAATAAATGAATTAACAAAATCATACAGGATACTACATGAGGAAGAAAAGGAAGCCCAATCTGAAGCAGCAGCAAAAGGTATTGCTCCTACAGAAGTAACAATGGCAATTAAATACGATCGTAACAGTGACCCAGGTAGATATAATTCTCACTGTGTAACCGAGGTTGCTGTCATATTCAGAAATGAAGATGGAGAGCCTCTTTTGAAAGGGAATTGCTCATTCATTGTAAACCAGATCCCAATAATCCAAATGCCACTAAAATGAATGAAATCAATATCCTGTTTCCTACATTAGATGCAATGACATATCCTATTCTTTTCCCACATGGTGAAAAAGGCTGGGGAACAGATATTGCATTAAGACTCTGAGACAACAGTGTAATCGACAATATACTAGACAAAATGTAAGGACACGAGTCACACAAATACAGTTTTATGAATTTCATCTCTCTGTGCAGGACACGTTCAATCTTATTTTAAATGCAGGAAAATTAACTTAACAGTTTACCGTGGATTCATTTTTAAAAATGGAGGTGAATCAATAAATTTCATCAAAGCAAACCTATCTTAAGTTGAGAGTTGAAAAATAGAGTGGTTTGATTAATTATCTCAAATTTAGATCTGAAAATGACAATGTGCTGATTGGTAAAATGATAATACTTCTATCATCTTTTGAGGGTAGTCCCAGAAGTATGAAGCAGCGATATCAGGATGCTATGGCAATTGTAACAAGTATGGCAATCCCGATTTATTCATAACCATGACATGCAACCCCAAATGGGCAGATATTGCAAACAATTTACAATGCTGGCAAAAAGCTGAAAACAGACCTGACTTGGTAGCCAGAATTTTTAATATTAAGATGAATGATCTTTTAAAAATGATATCTTAAATTCCATTTATTTGGCAAAATAATAGCTAAAATTCATGTCACTGAATTTCAGAAACGTGCACTGCCTCATGCTCACATATTATTGATATTAGATAGTGAGTCCAAATTATGTTCCTCTAATTAATTCCCTTTCAATGTGCACCGATTTTGTGCACTGGGCCACTAGTTGATCTATAAAATAAACAGCATAACTGAATTCCACCCATGCAGCAGCCATAAAATTCAGACAAAAGGCAGTTTACCAATAAATTGTCTGTCAGAAACAAATTCAAAAGTAAAGCATACCTACTTCACCACCTATTTTAATAATTTCAAACACTTAGGATTTTAAGTTATGTCCAAATATTACTTACTGAGTCTTTAAATGGAATTTTTAGAAAGTTTTGCTTGCATATTTATCTGCTGAACATGACAAGGTTAACAATTGATATAATGACTAGCTTGTTGACATGCTCTCCTACAGAAATTATTCAGAGGACAGAGGACAAAGCTCATTTATTCAACATTCACCAAGCACAGTGCTAGGTACTGAGGATACAGTGA